GAGGAACATGACAGCCCTATAGAATTTAGTTGACGAGAGCAGCTGGCCCCAGGGTCTGGAGCAGAGGGTTCCTTCCTTCAGCACTGTCAAATCAGAAGCGAGGACTTAGGCTCTTCCAACTCTACTTCCCTTGGGTTTTCAGACTTGTATCTTCAAGCAAAGCTTGCCAAACCACTTAAGCACCCAGCATAATATGAAATGTATCTATGCAGACTACTTTGAACCAGGAAGAAGTTCTGGGTTCAGGAATGTGACCAATGGTTCTCAGAGAATTTTGTGCAAAACAACCTTTATAACACAATGGTGCTGAGGTGGGACTTCAAAGAGGAAAGGATACCATAACAGAAGCAATGTAGTCAGTTTCTGGGAGCAACTGATGTTGTGACTGAACAATTAAAAAATCAACAGTGGCAACACATGAGAATTTGAGCATGCCTGCCTCTCCTACTTTGTATGTCATCTGTGTACCAAGGAGAGCTAAAGCTTCCTAAAGAGTCCTGCTAGAGTTTCCACTCCCCACTTGCCTTCCAGAGCCATTCTTAAGCCACAGTCACTTGCTCTGTGACCCAAGAAACTGACTTCTATGAAACTTACCACTGGGTTTTCTCGACCCCTCATTTCCCACTGGGTTTAGACAATGGAAAGAATTTTCTAGAAATTGGAGCCATCTCTGAAACTGAATCTCTCAACCAAAGGCCATACTTCTCATTGGGAAATTGTGTGTAGGTTTCGGGGTAAATGTTTTCTCTAGCATTGATTAATAGCAACTATTAGTGGCTCCTGGGTTCTGCACGAGGTTTTTGTTTACAATTTGCACTTTTGTATATAGCCCTGTCTTCTTTTTGAGTAGGCCATTCCTGTCTTCCTGGAACTCTCTATTAGTGGCTTTTCTGTTGCTGTGATAAAATACCATGACCAAACGTACCTTACAGAAGGAAAGGGGTCATTTTGGCTAATGAATCCAGAAGGATAGACCCTATAGTGGCAAGGAAGGCTTGGTGGCAGGCAGGAACGGCAGCAGGAACACAATGTTGGCTGGCCACATTTTCACTCATACACTGGAAGCAGGGCATCAGGGGAGAGTAGTCAGGAAGTGAAGAGAAACTAGGAGGGAGGGTGAGTGGGAGGAGGGAAGGAGAGGGAGAGGGTCAGAGGGAGAAAGGAGAGAGAGAGAAAATAAAGAAAGAGAGAGCCACGGAGAGTGGGCAAAGGGAGGGACAGGAAGTAAGTGAGAGGAAGAGGAAGAGCAGGAGAAAGGAAGAGGGGGAGAAATAGGAAGTGGGGTGAGATCACAAATACTCAAAGCCTGCTCCCAGTGATGTACATCTTCCTGCAAGGCTCCATTCCTAAAGGTTCCATTACCTCCCCACGTAGTTCCACTAACTCACAACTGGAGGTCAGGTGTTCAAATACATCAGTCTATGGGAGGCATGTCTCAGTCAGTCCACAACAGACCATAATAGCTACTTATGGATATAGGATATAAATACATCCATTTCAGTGGCTGCTTTTCCTCTTGGAAATTCCAGCTGACACAGTTAAATATTCCATGTTTTCTTTTAAGTTGGAAATCTGACACTCATCCTGGATTATTATTAACCAAATCTGCCTTCTTTTTTCTCTTCCCATGTGTCTCAAACCCATTCTATCCACACTACTACAATCTCAAAGTCTCATAAATGCCAGTGGCTTCAGAGCTGGCCTCTACACTGAGAAATGAGTTTACCTCCATTTAAACAAAATAACCCCAGACCATTCCCCAGACTAACACCTAAACCAGAAACTTTACCCATGTCTCGGGGCTACTCCCTTTGCTGTCTTTGATCCCAGTCTCCTGTTTCTTACTTCACTCAAGTGATCCCAACATGAGGACCAGTACTGGTCACTGTCCATTTTCTGCCTGTGTCATCACCTGCTAACTGACAGTTCTATATCCCTTGCTCTGCTTCCAAGCATCTATCACTTTCCATTCTCTTTTCTGGAATACTGCTTCCTTGGACTAATGTATCAGCAACTAATACCTTTTCCTCCCTCGATTCCCCAAATAAACCTACCCAACCTTCAACGTGTATCATTTAGGAAGGTGGCAAGTCCTGGTGAAAAAAAAAATATCATGCCAGAGTAAATGAGTATCAGTCTAAATTTAAAGCCAACAACCTCAGCTGTGTGCTTCCCTAATCTCTGAGGCAAAAGCTTTAAACACTTTCACACTGAGCCTTCTAATTTATAGAGAGAGACAGCAGCAGCCATCGGATGGGGACTCCACAAGCTTTGTGCTACCTTGCCTATGTATTTTCCTATCCATCCCTTCCTTGGTACTTTTAAGACTATTTATTTACTTTGCATGTGTGTATGATTACCTGGGTGTGTGTTTGTACTCTATGTATGTGCAAGTGCCCATAGAGGCCAGAGGAGGGCGCTGGATTTCCTAGAACTTGAGTTATATGCAGTTGTGAGCTGCCTGATGTGGGGGCTGGGAGCTGAACCTAGGTCCTCTGCAAACAAGCGCTCTTAACTGCTCAGACATCTCTCTAGTTTGCTGCCTCAGCAATTTTTTTTTTTTTTTTTTTTTTTTTTTTTTTTGTGACAAGATGTTGTGTTCAAAGGCCCCATTCCTCCTGCCTTCTCCGAGACATGGGGCATTCTGTCTTCTCTACCCTGTGCCTTTGACTTTATTTTTATAGGCCCCTGCAAAATACATCCCTACAACAAATGTTTGACAATTTATGTTTATAAACAACTTCTTCCTCCAGTGCTGCTAACATTCTCCACTCCAGTGTACTCTTCTGGAGATGCCTAGATTCATGCCCCAGCTCATTTCCTCATCCCCTACTCTATTTATTTGTTCAATTGACAATATATTTTGTGTATATGTATGCGGAACAGTTTTGACTTAGGTACACATTGCAGAAAGATCCAATCAAGCTAATTAACATGAATAACACCTCACCAAGGCACCAGATTTTAGGCAGCAAGCACATTAAATATATACTGGCAATTTTAAAGCCATGCATTGCATTAAATTTGGTTAGTACACAGAATAGATCACAAAAGCCCACCCTTTTAGACCAACAAGAAACATGTAGCTTTTTAAAAAATCATCATTTCTCCCCATCTCTCATCTTTCCTCTGATAAGTCCCTTCTACTCTCCACTTCAAGATTGACATTTTTTAAAATATTCCACATATAAGAGAGATCACACGGTATTTATATGTTTGTGTCTGGCTTCCATCACTTGTACTCATGCCTTCCAGGTTCACCCATATCGTGAATGGCAGAATCTCCTTCTTTGAAGCCAGTGTAGCATTACCTGATGTGTATGTATGGTATTTTATTTCTCCAGTTACACACTGATGGACACTTAGCCTTAAGTCATTCCCTAATTTGACTGTTGTGAGTAATATTGTAAGCATATGAAAATATCTTAGACATGCCAATTATTTCACTTTCTTTGGTTATATCCAAGAAGGCAGGTTGCTTGATCATTCGCTACTTCTAGAGTGTCAGGCAATTCCCATTATATTTTCCAGTATGGTTCTGATTTAGATTCCTACCAAGAAAGTGTGAGGGTTCTTTTCTCCATATTCTTGCCAGCACTCCTTATAAGTACTTACTATCATTTGAGAGGGGAACAGAGTGAATAGGGAAAGTGTGAGGTTAGTTTTTCGTTATGTGCCTGTCTATATCATTTACCATGTTTTCCTTTACATAGGATGTGTATGGACTACATTTTAGATTGGTTTACAAAGTGGGGATCAGGATCTGAGCTTTGCCCTCATTACTATGGTTTTGCAGATGTGACGGTTAATTTTCATTGTCATCTTGACTTGACTAGGAGACACACTTCTGGGCATGTCTGCAAAGGTATGTCCAGAAAGGGTAAGCAAGGAGAGAAGAGCCACCCTGAATGTGGGTGATAGCATTCCATGGGCTGTGACCCTGAACTAAATTTACAGGGAGAAAGAAGAAAGCAAGTTGAATGACAACCTTCAGCCATCCCTGCTTCCTGACTATGGATGCAATGTGCCTCAAACTTGGGTGTGATGTATTAGAATTCATCCCCCTTGCAGAACTATGAGATGGGCTACCCCTCAAACTTGAAGTTGAAGCAAGCCCATTCATCCTTAGGTTTCTATTGTTGCCATCAGCTATTTGGCCATAACAGTGAGAAAAGTCATGAAAATAGCATGCTTTTGTGAGCATCACCAGTACCTTCTTAAGATTGTGTCTTACTGGGAGAATTGGTGTATCCTACCTTTAGTCTTTTGGGGCAAATGCTCAGTATGATTTCATGCAGTCTCCCACAGGTTTCAGAAGATGTCTACCTTCTAGTCATTTAGCATTTCTTTGGAACAGGGCAATATTAACCAGTCTTCAAACATGATACAGAATAGTAAGAAGCATGGTCCATAAAATATGAGGCTAGAGAGACAAGCAGATGCCAGCAAGTCCTCCTTCAGCATCAGACTTGCATGCAGTTTTACATTGCAAGAAATCACTACAGGCTTTGGGGCAAGAAGGGGATATCTCATGATAAGATACCCAGGGGAGAAGGTAGAAGACTCTCAGGACTGTAAGAACAAGGTTAGGTCACATCATGCTGCTACAAAGGACAACGGGAGAAGAATTCAAGGAGTGTGGAGTGGGTGAAATCTGGAGCAGCTGGGCTGGGTTGACTGTGGATGGGGGTCGGGTGAGAGATGGACAGGAGTCAAAATTAGTTTGATCCGGATTCCTCATTTGAGTGCAGGGGTACTGGTGGACCAAACTCACATTAGGAACGCTATAGCTCAGGGAAAACTGTAGTGGCCACAAATGGCATCTGGTATTGTCCTTCTGCCACTGTCTTAAAAGGGATTCTGAAGGGATTTTCTTTCCCTTGTTCCTCCAGCTCTCCACTTGCGTTACTGGCCTAAGTGGATACTCCCAGCTGGCCATGTCCATCATCACAGTCAGGTCTGAGGATTCCTGATTATACTTAGAGCCTGTGGCACTGCGGACACAAACAGTCATTCGCAGATGACCCTATTGTAACAAACCATGCTTTAAAATGTAAACCACGGAGAATTTTCCTCAATAGTCCAGAAGTAACCTTCACTCTGAGCCTGGATTAACCATGAGAGAGCTTGTCAACATTCCACTGTTACAGATTCTCACCCTGGTTGCCTTCAGCGGGACTGAGAAACTTCCAAAAGGTCAGTCTACACAATCTTGTCTAAAGTGTGTGTGAGCTTCATGGTGGCTGATTTCTGATGTGGTGTGTTTGGGTGATGGAGAAAAAGAAGAGAGTTACACAGCATGCTTGATTCTTCTCCCATGATGGTTGTCTTCTGGGCTGTGATTAAAACAGCATGATGCGCATAGAGCCCTCTCTTCTAGGGAGATGTTGTCAGGTAGACTGTGAATTATGGAGGTCTGTTCTGTTTCTGGGTATGTCAAATGCTGGGGTGGTCTACACGTGTGATAAAAACCCTTCCACGCTGGGTTTGCCAAGAATATAATCCACCCCACTTCCAGATATCCAGAATGTTTTGCTCCTAAGGAGCAATTTTCAGTTTCAGCTTTTGTCAAATCATTAATGGACATTTTAGTAGCTAGAAATCAGACCTAGGGAAAGACACACAGAAAGTGCCTATGGAATCAAAGCCCGGACACATCTGACTCTGCGCTTTTGCTGCTGGTGCTGTGATTTGAGTTTGACCAGAGACTGCACTAGTTTTTTTCAGCGCTTTGGAATGTACCGGAAATAACACCACCTAAGGGGGAAAGCAACTTAAGAAAGTGACAAACACCTGTTGCAGCAGCAAGACTGTCCACGGCACTGTGGGTTCTGGCCAGAGTATTATGAAAGTTAGAACCAGGAAGAGTAGAAAATACGTGATTTGCAAAGCTCCTGCGTCTTCTCAAAGCAAGGCACAGAGAAGCAGACTAAATGTCATTAAATAGTGTTGTGTTAAGAGTCTTATGACCAAGTTTTGAAGAGTGCTGGGCTTTATTCAGATGAATTAGTTTCCATTTTGACCAAGCTGCCAAAGCACTGAAAATGTTTATCTTGAATAATTAGTGAAGGTGACATTTGTGTGCACATGGGAAACAAATCTTTAGGGTTTGTAGTTCACCTACAGTTTGAGAGGCAAAAGGTCAAGGATCCCATGTAAGTAACAGACAGCATTCTTTCCAAACAATCTGATTACACGGATTTATTATATTTTTATTTACTTGCTTTTTCCTCCACTTTACTTGGTCAAATGTACTAAGTCATTTACATCCCAATGATAACTTTAAGGCACCTTGAGGTAATAAAAAGAATCTGGACCTTTAAAAATAGCTAATAATTGCCAAAAGGACTTAACATTGGCTGCGGGTTATTCTAATACTTCCTGATCCGACTACGGATGTCCGGTAGGACAACACCTGGCTGTTTGGACCTATAGATCCTAATAGGTCTTATTCATTTTAATCTTTACCAAGCAGTTACCCAAAAGTGAGAAGGATACAGTTAAACCCCAATTTGTAAAGAAGGCAGCTGCTTTGATGTTCCAAATCAAACCTGGGCACACAAAACAGTAACAACAAGACACCTCTATTTTTATACTAACTTAGATTCTGGATAAAAATGACATTTTTAAAGTTCCCAGTCATCCTAAGCCTTCATTCAAATGCATATGATCATTCATGTCTACTTTGCAAATGTCAGAATCGTGGTACAGGGTAGTATACAGGATATCAGGTAGCTCAGCTTTTAAAGAAAACCACCAGAACACCCATCCAGTCTGGCCTTGTTACAGTGTATTTGCTGCAAATTTTAAAGTTAAAACCAATAGTTTCTTAGCCTACTCTGTTTGTTGTAAAAGTTGAAATTAGCACTGGATTCACATTGGTCTTATCCCCACACACTATCCCTAGGTGATTAGACATCTGTTCAATGTACAAGATGACTTCTGAAAGCAAATATCGCCACTGCACATGAAATCCTTAAGACGTTAATCCTGTAACACGTGGCATATTTTGATAGAGATGAGCTATTTGAATGTATTTTTCTCTTAATTATCAGTGAAAAAGATGAAGATGTCCTGGCTGTACTTGCTTATGCTCACAGCAGTTCTTGGAAGCTGGTAGAAGATAAATAGGTATCAGTCTGTTAGAGAATGCACTTGTCTGGACTAAAATGAAGGGACCTGCACAGTGATGTCTCACAGAATAAACCTTCTTGTTTGGAATAGTGGGCAGCTTCAGAATGGATGTACTTAAAACAGGGCTGTTTAAGGTTGGGGAGAAAATTCACAAGAATCATGTTTCCCTCTGTACAGTTTTCTTCATAAGATTATCTGACTTTGCAGAGTAATAGTTTACTATTTTAGCTTTAAATTAATTGAAATGCCTAACCTAACATTCAAATTCCAAAAGAGGGTCACTGTCTTTCCAGTGAGATGTTTTTTTGTTTGTTTGTTTTTTGTTTTGTTTTGTTTTGTTTTGTTTTTTGTGAGTTTAATTTCCTCACCTCAAGTAGGAGACTTTTAGAGGTCATCATGGATGAAAGTAGACAAAAGTTTTGTTGAATTTCCTCAGCTTAAGTCTCAAGAGCCCTTGCTGATCTATCAGGGTTTGTTAAATTTATGGTGGGGCATTAAAAATTCCGTAAGAGCTAAAGTTCATGTGGGCAGAATTGGAGTTATTTAATATACACAAGGATTTCCTCACAAAACCCCACATTCAAAATGACCCACTTACTAACAAACCTAGAGTGTTTAACATCTAGTTTCTCTTTAGGTGGAAAAGCCCTGTCTTTTAAATCACATGTAGGAATAGGATTCACAGATTTACTTATAAGTCAGTCAGAGCTGACACAGCTGTTGTGAACTCCATCCAGGACAGCAAGTCCCGGGCGAGCGTTTCATACCGACACTCATTGTCAGTTACTCATTGTAAGTGTAGGAAAACACTGCTGCTTTACGTCACTGCTCTTATGGGGGAAGGAAAGACTGGCAATTTCCTAATGTCCCTAAAGGTGAAGTAGGACTCTAGGAGGCCACTAGGAGGGATGAAGGGGACATCCCTAGACTGGTCCATTCAGGAAGGTGACAGAAGTGCACAGGCCCAGGAGAGTGTGCAGACAGCATGGCAGGCCTGCAGACAGCAGTTTGAGAGTGATTCTGTGCCCAGCAAGCGCTACATGAACACAGGAGTCGTGAGGGCAGGTGTTCAGATTAATTCAGGATCAGTGCTCCTCAGGGGCTGTGCATCTGAAGAACCTGAGGCTACCGAATCTGGAGTTACATGAAAATATCAGACGACAGAGGTCGGACATTGAAGAATGTGAAGCAAGGGTATTGAAGACTGGAGCAGGCATTGCAGTTAATGTCCCCTTTCCTATCCCCAACATCTTGCTGTGTATCTTTAAAGAAAGCACATAGTCTTTTCCTCAGTTTCCTTGTGGATGAGACAATGCCATTATCCCGTGTCACACGAAGGGTGATAGGCAGCATGCTTTACTTGGGTCCTTACAGGATGGTGGCTTAACCAAAAGGAACACTGCCAAGGGATGCAAACGCAAACATTCTCAAAGATTACACAGAACTTCTGTGAAAGTCCATCCCAGATGGGAACAACCACAAATAAATACATTCAGTTTCAAGGAATTAATGACACAGCTTTGAAAATGGTTGAGTGTCATTCTAGGTTAATGTTATAAGTTACCGTGACAAAAATTTTCATTTCAGAGCAATTAAGTGAGTCAGATAATGACAAATACCTATTATTCTCGTGGGAGAATCTGAAAATTTTCCAATATTGAAGTGTTTTCTTAGGTTGAAAAAGAAAGAACCAATGCTATATTGATAATAATTAGAAAAACATGCTTTTTTTTAAAGGTCTCAGCACCAATTTTTGCTTGTTTTGCAAGACAATGTTTCTTATGTAACAGCTCTGGTTGTCCAGGAACTCACTTTGTAGACCAGGCTGGCACTGAACTCAGTGATCCACCTGCCTCTGCCTCCAGAAGGTTGGAAATAAAGGTGTGACCTCCTGGCTATCAATTTTCTTTAAATAACAACAACAAAAACAACAAAACCAAGACAAAACAAACAAAAACAAAACAAAACAATGCACCTGCCTTCTTGCATTTGGGCAAGGTCATTAGTAATGATTCAGCCAGAAGATGACATGTGATCACTGTATTCTAAAGCCCACAAAAGACAAAGGAAGGTAGTATTATGACCCACTCATCCCGAGCTAGAATTTAAGATAAATTTTAAGATAAATTTTCTTTGGATCTGAAAAGGATGTGTTCATCCTTGTGTGTTTGTTGTTCGTGTGGTTCTTGGATCGGGAGAAAAGACAGAGGTCCCATTTACACAGGCTCTGGCTGGGAAGAAAGCTGGCTAAGGACAGCAAACAGGAAGTGACCTGCAGAGTCAACCATATCCTTTGGTACAGCTGTTCGATGGCGTCAGTGAACACTTCAAAGGGAATTTGAGTAGTTTCAGAAGATGGGCAAAATGCACCTGAAAAACTATGTTCTGCCACTAGAAATTAATACTGATTTAAACTTCCCATTTTCTGTGTATAACCACGACTATAAGACGCTGTCCATCTAGAGTTTGGAGATAGGCTATGTCTCTTGTGTGTGTGTATGTGTGTCTCTCTTTCTCAGTGTGTGTGTGTGTGTGTGTGTGTGTGCGCGCGCGTGCGTGTGCGTATTTTAATGTGTAAGTGTAGGTGTGTGCAAGCAGAGGCATGTATGTGGGGAATCTCTTGTTTGTCACTGTGTAATGCAGGTTAGCTGCCTGCCAGCTTGCAGGGAAGTCCGTCCTCACCTTCCATCCTCCCATAAGAGCACCGGTATTCAGACACACCTGCTCCAGTGCTAAGCTGCATGTGTGCTCTGGGGATCTGAACTCAGATCCTCATGCTTCCACATCAAGGACTTTACCCATTGAGTCACCTCTCCAACCCCAAGACACAGGGCCTCTAAGCTACCCTTAACCCCGAAATTCACCTCTATCACTTCCTACCTTTGGGATGGTTACAAAAAATGATGTCTAGTTTGCAAATGCTCAATTGTATTTACCTCTTACTTTTTGATAAATAAGATAATGAAGATAAGGTGTGAGAAGGAACACATAGAAAGTTCTTGAACAATCTCAGGTACTGATGTTACTAAAACCAGAGTCAGACATCACCCGAGACTGTCACATCATTGAATGTTGTGGGAAGACGTTGACACGATACTGCTCTCAATGACACTTCATGTATTTCTCCGTCTAAGATTTTCAAGATTTTGAGGATTGTCTTTTACTTCTTTGATCTTAACCAGCAGAGTGTGTTTCGCCATCACCGCCGCATGTCTGTGTCAGTGTGGAGTGAAAGAAACTGATGGATAAATTCATTTTTAAAATAAACAGCACATGGTAGTTAGATTTGTTTTGAAAGGGATGAAGCAGACAAAACAGAAGAAGCTACTTCTGCCTCTGCAACTGTTGACACGCCATATCTTCTTCTGTGTTGCTCTCCTGCCTTGGCATGTTTACCTTTCACGAAAGCCTGTGCGTGCTTTGTCATTGCCACACTTTCAAGTACTAATTTGCAACAATCCTATCCTGTCCTGTTTATCAGACAGTGTTCTGAAGTATAGTTAACATTCAACTTTCTGAGAAAAAAACAAAATAACATCCAGTTTCAAACCAGCAACAAATCCTGGAGACAGTCAAGCGTCAGCATGCACACTACTGTTGTAGGTCGTTTTCAGCACCCCAGAGCATAGATAGGGTGTAGTTAAAAAGTGATGGGTGTGTGTGTGTGTGTGTGTGTGTGTGTGTGTGTGTGTGGTGTGTGGTGTGTGTGTGTGTGTGTGTGTGTGTGTGTGTGTGTGTGTGTCTGTTCAGATGTCTCTTGGCTGCTCTTCACCTTATGTTTTGAGACATACTAAATCTGCTGGCCAGTAAACCTTGGGGACACTACTCGCTAAGACTGGGATTAAAGGCAGGTACTTCTGTATTCAACTGTTTCACATAGGTCCTAGGGAAGTAAACTCAAGATATCTCTGTGGCCTAGAAGTAATTGATTTGTAAGTGTTTTCTTATGTTGAGAATTATGCAATTTAGTTTATTGATAATAGCTATTTAACAATTACTAGCAAAATTCCTGGAAAAAAAATAAAAAAGAGCAATTCATTCTTGCCAGTGCAAACCATCTCTAGCAGACCATTGCAAGAAGGCAAACCCCCCACCCCCTTGCCCTGACTTCACTTTATTCCACTAGTACAGCTAAGTGAAATTCATCAGCCTCATGGCCTGAGTCATCTAACATGCCTTCCTATGTGTGTGATAGATTCTAGGGCACCAGTAATGACTTAACATTCTATTTTGTGAGGGTGGAGAGATGGCTCAGCAGTTAAAGAGCACTTGGTGAATTTCTAGAGGTCCCATCTCCAGGACCACACTGGGAGGCTCCCAACAACCTGTAATCCAGCTCCACAGAATTGCACCTTCCTTCCCACGCATTCATAGATGATGATTAATGTGTTTGTGCTCTGTAGATTTCTGAGTTGCACATGCTTCAGGAATAGAATCTTATAACATGACCCTTTGTGACTATTTCCATATACTTGCTTCTTCGTTTCCACGTTTCCTCCGTGTCAAAGAATGTAACACTTCCCTTATTTTCATTGCCAAATAACAGTCCATTGTATATGTATGTTAATTTTGTTTATCCATCTGTTGGTGGGCACTTAGGTGTCTTCCATCTTTTGGCTATTATGAGTAGTGTTGCTATGAATAGAGAGGTGAAAATATTTGAGTATCTGAGTCCTTATTTTCAGCTCTCTTGAATATGTACCTGGAATTGGAACTGTTGGTCATGATTCTCTGTTGATTTCTTTCTGGGAAACCTCCGTACTCTTTTTCCCCAGTGACCATCATTTTAACGCCTACCCACAATGCACAGGGTTCTAATCTCTCATAGATGTATTATTTTTCTTTATCTTTATAGCCACCCCAATGAGTACAGTTTTAATTTACATTTTCATTTACTTAAATTTTTTTGCTGGTGTATTTTTGTGTGGCTTGGTGCATGTTTTCACATCTGTACACACGTATGTGTGGAAGTCACAGATTGACATGAAGTGTCATCCTTGGTTGCTGTCCACTGTATTTGCTGACAACAGGGTCTCTTGCTGACTCAGCTAGTCTAGCCTGTCAAGAATCTCCTGTCTTCTCTAGAGCACCGACTTTACAGACAGGTCACCCAATGTCTAGTGGGCTTTTGAACAGTAATGTCATGGCTTCTGGCTGCTAAAGGGTGAGTAATAAAATAACATTCTGGAGAGTTCTCCCTTGTTTTTTCTCTGTTTAGCTCCTGTCATCACCACACCTCTTGAAACCGTAGATGCCTTAGTTGAAGAAGTGGCAACTTTCATGTGTGCCGTGGAATCCTACCCTCAGCCTGAGATTTCTTGGACCAGAAATAAAATCCTCATTAAGTGAGTACTGTGTGTCATCATGCTAAGGATGGATGCTGGCTCTGCCCCATAGTTTCCCACCCATGGAAATGCACCCATACTGTTGGTGGCACTGAAAGTCACCTTCTAGAATATGTAATATTCATTTCTTAATCGGAAGATCTGAAGTTCAGGGCAAAACATGGATTCATCTGACATGGGCAACGCCAGATGAGAACCCTGGATCTTAACAGAACTAGGAAGTACCATGGTATGCTAAGTCTGATGACATGTATTCCAAGACACTCAGAGGAGCTGAGGGGCCAGGCTGTCTTCCCCTCTGTATCCCCATACTATGAAATCTATTGTCTAAAAATCTGATTTCTGCATCTCTATCACCTTTTTTTTTTTTTTTCAAAATAAGACAGATTCTCAAACCGATAAAAGGCCCACTCGGCAGGTAAAGGGTCTGCTTTTCTCCCCTCATCACGATAGCTATCCCACTAAAAGTACTCTACAAAAACTAAAACAAAGTGATCTGGAGGGCGCTCTAGCAGGCAGTGTCAACACGGAATGTGCTCAGTTCACATGAGCTACTGTGACTGCTCTGTTAGGACTGGGGCTAATGAACCACAGAAAATTAGTTCTCACAGCCTTGGGGACTGAGTAGTTCCAAGTTCAAGGAGCCAGCAGATTCAGTGTGTGGTCAGAGGATGAAGGTTTCCTTTTGTGTTCACAGATGGCCACTTTGCCCACTGTCTCTTCGTGTGAGGGAAGGGCGTGGAGGAACTCTCTTGGTTCTCTTCTGTAGGGACACAAGTTGAACTCACAAGAGATCCAGTCCCATGAGACACAATCACCTTCCAAAGACCACCTCTCAAAAACCATCACATCTGACACTCGGCTTTAACACATGAATTCTGGGGAAAATGTCACATTTCATCGATGTCCTTAAGTGGGTGCCCATAGACGAGGGCCCGTGAACTGGAAGGGGAGAAAGGACAGGCATATTTTCACTGCCTCTGACTGAAATGTCATGTTTCCTTCTGTGACACATACTCTGAAGTCACTGTGTACCACAGCCTTAATGAACTCTGCCAGGCAAGCTCTCTCCGGGACGGAACAGATCACACACACACAGTTCAAACACCGGAAAACATATTTATCATTCTTTGCGATTTGGATAGAGATTTTCCAACTCACGAAGCCTAAATTTCTACTTTTACTTAGCAGTATTTTTTCTTCTTTTGTGTGGTCAGTCTTTGGAAGATTTATTTTAGTTTACATGTATGAGTATTTTTTCTTCATATATGTATATTTTGTGCATGCATGGTGCCCAGAAGAGAGTGCTGAGTTCCCTAAAATTGGAGTTAGAGATGGTTGTGGCTTCTGGGAACCAAACCCAAATCCAGAACCCCTGCATGAGCCAGTGTTCTTAACCACTGAGACAGCTCTCCAGACCCAGCAGTACTCCACGTCACCTTTCTCTTCTTGAATTTTACTACAATCTTCCAAGGACCACAAGGTGTGGCTTCAACAGTGTGCCTGGAAATTTCCCTGGCTAAATATGAGTCCATTATTCATAAGATCTGAATTCGAAATGAGGGTGAGGCATCATTTGGCTGAACTCTCTGCCACTCTGGCAAGAATCATCTTTCTTTCATCTCCCCCCGCCCAGGTATCATCCCTTGTTCTGTCTTAGCCCCCACCAGTAGAGGTCTTAACATTCATATTTTTATCAACATTCCCTTCACATCATCTGTCAGCTAGTGATTACTTTGGCATTCTCTAAGATGACTTAGCATTCTCCTACTCTTTCCAAGACCCCAATAGGTATCATTAACAAGTATGTTTCAGCTGATAGTCTCTTTAAAAAAAAAAAAACTAGGCGGATTCTGTTTTGTTTCTTATCATGCTGCTCAAAACTCTGCCAGTTCACTGCAAAGCCACACCTCCATTTTCAGGTATTTGTGTCAGCAGCACCATGATTCTGGGTACCAAAACTTGTATTTATTTTCTACTGAGACTGTCACAAGTGGTCACAAATGCAGTGATATCAGACAAAATATCGTATTAGTTTACAGTTCCAGGGTGTGAAGCAATCACTGGCAGCTCCAGCTCTTCCTGGATGCTCCAAGACACAATTGGATCCCACAGGCCACCTGTGTCCTCTGGTTCCTTCCTCTGTTCATAAACTAGTAGTCACATGACTGGTTTCTGCATGTCAGATCTCCATCTCTCTTTTCCATCATAAAAGGATCTTTGTTACTACATTTGTCCCTTGTGGGTAATCGAGAATGTTCCATTTTAAGTCCTCCCCCCTTTTTTTCCCCCATTTTGACTCTTAACTGTGTTCAAATCCCCCTTGCAGTGTATCACAGACTCTAGTGACTAAGACATGATGGGTCTTTGGAGACAGTCATTCGGTGTACCATATACATTTGATACTGAGAGTTCCTATTATAAAACAAACAATAAAATAAAAATAAAATCCAACAACAGAAGCCACTTGGTTTTAGTTGATGATTCCCCTCCAACTTCTTTCTGTTGCCCTGAGTCTCTTCTCAGTGGACAATTGTACATAATTAAATAGACTATGTATGTGCATACATACAAGCACACACAACATGTTTTTATAGCTTGAAGATCTTTTATTTCCTTGTGCATTCTAAACCAGAGGCAGAGAAGTGCCTGCCACTTGTTAACCATCTAAAATTCGTTTGTTTATAAAAAGGGGAAGTACTAGAGTTTTGGAGAGGATGGAGGGAAGGGAGAAAGAATAATTAGGGTAATCAAAGTTTACTATATGCATGTGTGAAAATGTCCTAATGAAACCTTTTATTCTGTTGAATTAAGATATGTTTATAAAGCATATAGAATGAGCACAACTTACAAACCCAAAGGTAATTTGTACAGTTCATTTTAAAGTATTTATTCAGTCATTAATGGCTTCAACAAAATGAAAGTAAGATTTTGTTACCATTTATTTAGTTAGTTATAAACTCATTGCTTATACTCACATTTATTGAAACATGCTATAATATTAATGATTATTAAATTGTACTAGAATAAAAAGGTATAGAGAGTTGACTCGGTGGTTAAGAACACTGGCTGTTCTTCTAAAAGACCCAGGGTTGATTCTCAGCACCCACATGCAGCTCCTCACAACTATCTGTACTCTAGTTTTAGGGGACCTGACTCCCTCTTATGGCTTCCATAGGAAACAGGCATGCATATAGTGTACAGAAATAATGCAGGCAAAACACCCATACCCATGAAATAGAAAATGCAATGAGTAAAAATTATAAAAAGAATGAAAAGTACTTGTTTAATGAATAAATGGATATCCAATTAATTGTTATTGATATCTATAAGTATTTATTTCTTTCTGTTCATTACAATTACATGCATGTTCCTTTTCCAGTTGCTTTTCCTTGCAGGAAAAGATTCATACATCTTAGTTATGATATACTTTCTTGGCATGGGGGGGACCTTAATTCAATCCCCAGAATATACATACTCAAAAGGAAAGTTGATTGTGGTAGTGGGTGCTTGTAATCCCATCCCTAAGTCTGGTCTGGCCAGGGGGTGGGGCAAAGACTGGCAAATCCTTGTGACTTGCTGGTCAGACAGCCTTGCATACTTTGTAAGCTCAGAATGGCATGCGAGCATACACAGACGCACATACTTTCCTGAGTAAATGTTGCACTTGTTCTTAGCAGCAGCCAACACCTCAGAATTGTTTTGTACAACTCAACGGTGCTTTGATTATGGAGCCCAGAGAAACCAGATTATAAAAAATACATTTCCTCTAACTCTTTATCTGCTTCCTCACTGACTGATCATCAATTTGATCCATTAATCAAAGACATGTGTAAGTGTGTGTGTGTGTGTGTTTGCATGTGTATGTGTGTGTGTGTTTGTGTGTGTGTATGTGTGTTTATGTGTGTGTAGGTGTGTGTGTGTGTGTAGGTGTGTGTGTGTGTGTGTGTGTGTGTGTGTAAAACCACACAGATGGGACACTAATCCTCCACTTTGCTCTGTGACCTGCAGGCTGTTTGACACCCGCTACAGCATCCGGGAAAATGGTCAGCTCCTCACCATCTTGAGTGTGGAAGACAGTGATGATGGCATCTATTGCTGCATAGCCAACAATGGAGTGGGAGGAGCCGTGGAGAGCTGTGGTGCTCTTCAAGTGAAGATGAGTGAGTAGGGAAGAGCATCATCTAACATTAAAGTTGTGTCCACACATTTGTAGCAGTCACTAAACAGAACACTCCCTATAACAGAACGTCAGCTCAAGTACAAAATACAGGTTCCAGAGCCAACCCTTATTCCTGTCACAACCACGTTAAGGCAATCCTTTAGTTTTCTGTCCTCTCTTGCCTTGTTTTTGCCCTTCACACAGCTCTTGATTATATTTGGGAACTTCCTTCTGAAATCATTGTGCATTTTTAAAGCTTCCGTTTTTTATTTTTATTTTTTATTTATGTATGTGCTTATGTGTGCTGTGTATGTTCAGGTATCCACTGAGACCAAAAAGAGGGCACCAAATCCGTTGGAGCCGGAGTGATAGGTGGTTGTGTGCCACTTGCTGTGCGTGCTGGGAACCAAACCCTGATCCCCTGGAAGAGCAGTAGGTGCTCTTAACTGCTGAGCTATCTGACCAGCTCTTTCTGTGCATTTAAAAAGCATAGTTCCATTATGGTCAACACCTGTTTTTTTTTTTTTTTTAAATATCTCATCCTTTTATTTATTTCCTTCTGAGTGGCTTCCCACTTAAACGGAGGATGCTCCAGTTTCCCAACCTGGCTACTCGGTTTTCGCTGCAACCAGAAGCAACTAAGCCATTATCCGTGTATTCCTCACAAACTGCTCTCTCATGGAGGCTTATGGGGTTCTGGCCATTCTCTTCTCTAACTCCATCAAGCACCTGCTCCTGAACCCCACATACCCATCAGAGTCTCCCATTCTACTCCCAGTATCTTCCTGTTGGTTTTGTCTGCCATCATCCTGGAAGATTTTAATAGCCAGGAGGTGGAATCACCCTTCGAAGCCATCACCCTGCAAACACCCAGTGTTATTTAGCTGAACTCTTTGCTATTCTGACAAATCAAGGACCCATACTGGGCCTTGCCACATGCTGGCAGATTCAAAGACTTCAGTGCCAATATGTCACGTTCTGACTATGAACACTTTTGTATGGCTTCACTGGATGTGGGAAACTTGCTTACACTTAAGACTTGCCTCTGTGGTGTATGTACAAACTTGCTGGTTTCTCAAGTAAGAGCAGTGCCAGCGCTTTCTGGCCTCAATGCACTTTGCACTTGTAGGTACCTGCTATTGGCAGCAATCTCAACCCTGCCATAATGCAAACTTTATTTTCTCATTACTAATGACAAAAAAAGAAAATCACACATGCATTTATGTTACCGTCTGATAGAACCCGGGTCTACTGGAATCTTTTTGGTTTTAGATCTCCTTTTTTTTCTCCATTATTTCTTACCCCTGGCTGTTGTTTCGTTGGAAGAAATCAATTTTTAAGAATGAATTTGTCTCTAATGGTTCTTTGCATAGTAAGCTCCATTTCTTGGATGACACAGTGCTCCATGTTTCTCTGAAGGAATTGCTAGTGAATTTTTAAAAAGGACATTTTCTTACTTTATTTTTGCTTCATCCAAGATAAATTATGCTCTCATCTCAGTTCATTTCTTTTTTTGTATTTTCCCTCAAATGTGTGTTAATCTCCTTAAGTATAAGTTTAATAGAGTATTTGATTACCTCAAGCAGAAGCTATTGTGATTGATTGTGGAGGACAGATTTCATAGTCACCATGAGGAAGTAGATGGCATGCGTCCAGAAAAGACTTATGATGTGTTCCTCAACAAAGGAATCAGGGAAAGAGGCCAATACTGCCTCAGTGGCTGAGAAACGAAGGCTCCCTTCTGATAAAGAATGTTATTTTGAGGGAATGGATTCACTTCAGTAATTCACTGTTCTGCTTTTCTTCCTATGTTGTTTTCTCTCAAACATTTTTATTTTTTTTTTTTAAGTTTGGTTCTACACCAAATCCTCTCATCTCTTTCTTCCTTCCCTGGCCCCATCTTCATTTTAGGAAGAGTTATGTTTGTGTGGGTATTTACTAGTGTGGCCATTCCAATTGTTAAGTTTTGGATGATTCCTAACCACCACAATGATGCCAGCAACACCCTTCCCCTAGAACATCTCCTTTGAAACCTCAGGTTCAACCTAGGGCTCATGCTGGCACAGCAGGGTACCACCGGTACTTTGCTTCAATAAGCTAGCCATTTCTGATGTGTTCCACAGTAAGTCACAATTTCTCGACAGGAGACTCTATGCTTCCATGTGACTACTCTGACCAGCCCTAGCTTACTTTTTAGTCCATTTCCCAAAGATTCTCCTTACCTCCCACTGCACAAGTGACCAAGACAGCTGTTTCCTGGGAAGCCAGGAGATAAATCCTCAATACAGCAGATAGCTCCTTAAATTTCTCACATAAAACATCATCTATGACCCAGGTTCACTGTGGGGATCTTGTTCACGGAAGCCAATGAAAGGAATATTGGAAACTTCTCTTTGACAGTAATAAGAATATCAACTTCCAAACCAAGGTTTTGCTGACACGTATATAACAATACAACTTACAGTCAAAGTGGCCAGCAAGTAGCTAAAGTTTAAGTGTTCCCTACTGTGAATATAAAACAGAACTATAAATTCTAGAATATAGCAGAATGGCCAAGGCTGACATTTTCTTATAAAATATTTTAAGTCTATCTTGTGTGTTCGCCATAATATAGAGTCATTTTAACAGTAAGGGGAAATATATGCCTGGGTTAAAAACCAACAGGCATTTAATCTTTGTAGATATGACTGACAATGACACAAAAGGCTCTACAGCACTCGCACATGCTCACATATAAAGAAAAAGAAAAAGTATTTATCCCTTGCCTGTCTCTATTAAGGTGGCCTAACACACACACACACACACACACACAGACACACACACACCACACACACACACACCACACACACACACACCACACACACACACACACACACACACACACACACACACACACACACACATCTCAGAAATCTGTCCCAGAAAGACATCTCTCTGTTCTGCATCTATAGTATAAGATTATTAGGGACACGAGGTAGCTTAGTTCCTTTCTGACTCTTCTGTATCTACAGTTTAAAAATACTAGGGACTCGAGATAGTTTAGTTACTTTCTGAGTGCTTGGAGGCATTTGAACCTCTCAGTTCTACATGTTAGATTTAGTAACTTCTTTTCAAAGCTTCGTAGTAGAGAATAAAAATGAATCAATATCACCCACTTCTCCAGAAACATTGGCCTGAGTACTGGATGAACAGTAAACTTCTCTTTGTAGCATTTTGAGTCTACAAACTGTGTCAGAGTTTTGTTTTGTTTTTTTACAGTTAGTAACATGCTTTCTAGAGGAAACAGCATATTTAATAGTACAAAGAAGGTGGGAACTAGACTTGGAAACAAATGTAGTCTCAGGATGTGGGAGGTAGAGGCAGAAGGATCATTTCAAATTCAAGGCCAGCCTCTTCAATACAGTGAGTTCTATGTCATCCAGAGCTATGTAATGAGACCTTATCTCAGAAAAAAGTAAATAAAATAATAGAAACTAAAGGAAAAGTAGATTGTAATTCAAACTGACATGATTAACTTAGGACAATTTTCAAATGTTTCACATCTATTGGTATAAATTACAGAATGTTGAATTATTATGTGGACAGTTTATGGTGACTTTTTATTAAATGACATTTAAAATAAGAAGTACTAAGAAATTTCAGATATCTAGTATGCCTTATAAATTTGAGTTTTGCAAAAGAAAATAGAGGTTTTAGCAAACCAGATTTAACCATCCCCTAGACTGATTTCCATTTACTAATGATCTGTCTTAGCCTTTGGCAATTTAAGGTCTCTAAGATGATTCTTGAAATTAATGCCAAGAATTAACTAGAAAGTTACATTGTCTTTTTATGTTTGATTTTCATTTTCCCCACAGAACCTAAAATAACTCGCCCTCCCATTAATGTAAAAATAATAGAGGGATTGAAAGCCGTTCTACCATGCACGACAATGGGCAATCCCAAGCCATCTGTCTCCTGGATCAAAGGGGACAGTGCTCTCAGGGTAAGTCATTTTGTATTAAAATCTGTATATAAAACATCATCTGGAACTGAAATTTCAGACAGTATGAGCCACCCAGTATGGGTGCTGGGAACTAATTTCCAGTCCTCTGCAAAAGCAGCAGGCACTATTAATAGCTGAGCTCTCTTTCCAACCAGTGTAAGTCATATTTTAAATGCTATTATCTCTGAAATCTACTAACACACTAACACACCTCTAGTATATGTTTTACTCCAAATGCATTAGCCTAACTTAAATTCTTCAATTGCTCATTAAGCACACTCTCTAGGACATTCCGGCACGGACTGTCTTGGAGACAGAAGAGATAAAAATCAGCAACATTAGAGAGGAAATGGGGGCAGAGCCCAAGCAATGCAAGGCTTATTTTTCTTACTCAGCTGAACCACTTACTGTTAGTATTCTTTAACATCAAATATTTGAGAGTTTAGGGATGACAAAGCTGAACCAATACCCAAGTTTTAGAACTGGCAGTTTCTAGGAGGAGAGAGATGAGGACTGGAAGGAAGAAAATGAGAAAACAAAGGTGAGAAACTAGAGCAAGGAGACTCAGAATGATAAATAGAGACAAACACATCTCAGTAATGAAGGGAAGTCAGATTAGAGCTATGCATTTGGGCTGGAAAGATGGCTTCACAGGTCAGAGTGCTTGCTGTGTGAGAGAACCTGAGCTTATATGCATCCATATTAATGTGTCTTTAAACCCAGTGCTTTGGGAGGAGGAGAAGGTTGTGGGGCTTGCTAGCTGCCAGTCTAACTCCAAGCTCATTGAAGATCGTGGCTCAAGGTAATAAAATTGAGAACAATAGATCAGGACCTCTTGCCACATACATGCACATGGATGTACATACCTACACAGGCATGTAGATATAACACACACAAACACACACACACACACACACACACACACACACACACAACATGTACTACTCATTGGCTTAGCTTGTATTGCTTCTGTGTATTGTCCCCATGCTTACTAATAAATTGTTATTCTGTATCATGATCATATCCTTGACTTTGTCTCACCTAAAAATGAGATTACAGATTCTGTTGCCATCTTACCAGGCCATGCACACTCCTTGGAAAATAATACATACTTATCAGGATATGTCAAATAACTGAAACAAACTATAAATCTGATGAGCTTTGCCAACTTTAGTGCCAATATTTACACATCCTGGCTTGCATTTTGTTATGGTGCATTTTCTATAATAAAAAGCTAAGATGACTGACTGCACCTTATTCAAGATACAGTAAATTCAAGAAGAGAAGAGAAATGTCCCATATAAACTCCAAAGTAATTTTAAGATTCTCAAAGAATGTGCATTCTCTTAAAGCTACCCTAAGGGTATATGGTAAAGTGTGGTAACTGAAATCAATGTTTTACATTTTTGTCTTGCTTTGTGTTTTGTTCTGGGTGGGGGGGGTGGGGTGAAATCAGGGCTGCTTGTATGCTAAGCACATTTTCTACCACTGAGCTATACCTCTAGCCCCAAAGCACAATGCTTTCAATTGTGCTTTCAATCAAACTGACACAATCATGACTTTTGGAACTCATGATTAGTGTTGTATTTTAATGAAAGAAGGGGTAAAAAAGAATAGATGCAATCTCATGAGATCATCAAGATGGTTAATTTAGTTTGTCTTGCATGGTCTCAGTAGTATCTGTAATATGCATAGATAGGATAGAAGCTGATATTTTGGGTGTTAAGAACAGTGATAAATCAATGAAATAAGGCAAGTGTGTCTTTGACCAAGGCTGTTTTCAAACCCATGTTCCTGTCTTTGGCAGGAAAATTCCCGCATTGCAGTTCTTGAATCGGGGAGTTTAAGGATCCATAATGTACAAAAGGAAGATGCAGGACAGTACCGATGTGTGGCAAAAAACAGCCTGGGCACAGCTTATTCCAAACTGGTGAAGCTGGAAGTTGAGGGTAAGAGGCAGCATGTGTCCATCATGGTCTGCTGAGAACGCTGTGCTTTGGGCTGAGAAAGATGTGATGTAGGAAGCTGTGGTTCCTCAGCTCTGAGGGCAAGGCCATGAAAACAAAGAAGTCAGAAGACACATCCCTAGCATAAAAGACCAGATTCTGCCTATTGCCCTCATTGCTGATAATTTTGACCATTGCAACAAACAAAATTCATGGTAATGAAAAAATAATACGACACTATTTTAGTGTGTCTTTTTGGCTTGGGTAATTTTCTTATTTATAAGTTTGGAGACAGTAATTTTGTCTTTTAATGCATTTGGATTGATTTCTAAAAAAATTAAGATGGAAAAATCTTTTTCAAATTACAGCTTTACAAAATATGAGAAAAATAAGATAATGAATCAAACATAGAAAACATGGTCCTAATTCTGTGAAGCATGTAGCAATGACTTGAACATAACAATTATTTCAAAGAGTTTTTTATCATTAGTTAATTCAATAAATTGGTGAGAAAGATCTTTACTTAGAAACCAGAATACAAACAAATTTTAGTGTTCTATTCCTTATCCATCTGGTTCTTCACTTAAAATTATTTATCACGTTTGATTTAAAAATAAGAACTAGGATTCAGAAGGGAGGGGAGGTTAGGAGGAATAGGAGGAGTAGAAGGAAGGGAAACTTTAATCAAAATGTATTATGTGAGAAAAATAAAACTATTTTCAATAAATGGGGGAGACGGAAAGGGACTGTCAGCAGACCTGTACCATGTGAGCACTTTACATATGAAATCTTTCCTCACTCTTTCTGTTCTGAGCCATGGATTCAAGAGCTCTGACTTATTTCTTCCTCTGTAAAATCAAGGTTAAGGAATTAATAAGCAATTGGTTATGTCCCGCAGTTTGGCCTTGAATGTACTTCACAGATGATGGCTACAGATTTCTCGGCTTTTATTTTCCTTTTCTGAGTGTTGAAACATTAGACTAGACATAAGAGCAGAAACAGTGATTAAATAAACAAAGATTTTGATGGATCCCAGATCTCTGAGCCACCCCATTCTGCTTGGCTAAAATCTATCCTTTCCTGCAATTTCCATTCTGACTCAGGCTTTTATTAAAGTTATTTTTATTTCCTGAGTAGCTCCATGTCCTTTCTCTCACAGTTTTAATGACCTCGTTTTCCATAGCTGCCTCTAGTTGAGGCAACACTTTTATGGTGTCATCATATCAACTGCTCATAAAATTTCCATTAGGAAATGGCAGATTGTATGTATGTATATGTTTATATACATATTTATTATTTTTAGGTAAAGACATATATTATAGATACATTAGCATAGTTATCAATATAGTTGTATAGTTTAATACCTTCTAAATTATCAAATCTACTTAGAATTAGAATGCAATTGACATTTTTTTTTACAGTGAAATCTAAATAAACATACAACTGTATTCAGAAACCTACCTCAGACGCACTGAATTTCTGCCTAGATTCAGGATTGCTTTGAATGCTCTGTAGAATGGTATAGAATAATGCTATCCATTCAGATCATCCATCAAACTCAAGCTTCCTATTTTCCCAACTATTAAAACAATTTACTTCAAATTGGGCTTAGAAAAAGTTATCACCAATACTAATTCATTAGGGCCTATTTATATGGTGGTCTTCTATTTCCTTAATTGTGAATCAAAAAGATGGGGCACAGCTTTAGTCTTCTTAACACTGAAATGATCAAGCTTGTTGCCTTGACTGTTAACATATGCTTAGAGGGTTTATGGAAGTTCGCTATGGCTGAGAACTCATGCTAACACTTGAAGCTTCTCTAACAGTTGTTAAGAAAATCATTTTAGCACCTGTCTATTCTGCTTCCTCTACTTCTGATCAAAATATCCCCAAATGTGGCATAATTTTACTAGAGCATAATAAGCATGGCATACATGATATCTGTCATCATCTTATTGCCATTAAGACATAAACACACACATATATACAACTTGTTTTGGCTCAAGACGTTCCTAAAAATTGAAGCTGATTTCCTTTTAAACAAAGAGTTGGGCATACACATAAGTTACAGTTCAGAAAGAACTTTAAGGAGGAGTCAGTTCAACTTGGAATTCAAAATGCATAGAAAAGTAATAGCAAAATGACTGGAAGATGCTTCAAAATAACTGCAACGCTTAGCTATGTTCAGTTGGAACTGATAAATGTATGTACCCACACTTAACAACTTCATGTTAGTTATAGGCTTGTTTTTTGAAGCAGAACTCCATACTGATAATTGAGGCCATTTAATGCTAGCTACAGACGGGCACACCACTAGTAGCCTCTAGCGAGAAAAAATATGCCAGGCATGTCACCACACTGGGTACGGCACACTAAGTACATCTTAATGGTCATAACAAATACGGAAGAAATATCCTGCCACATGGAATGTAAGTCTCTCTAAATTCCCATCTTCAGGTCTGAGGTCTCTAAAGTGATAGGACAAATGAGAGTCTACCTCTATTAGTTACTCTACTGTTGCTGTGACTAAACACCATGACCAAAGCAACTCATAAAGGAAAGCATTTGATTTGGCTTACAGTTTCAGAGGGTGAGAGTCCATGATGATGAAACAAAAGCATGGATGGCTGTGAAAGAGCTGAGATCTCACATCTTGATTCACAAGCAGGAGGCACAGAAAGCACCCTGGGAATGAAATCTCAATACCCAACCCTCGATGACATACCTCCTCCAACAGGGCCATACCTCTTAATCCTTCCCAAACAGTTCTACTCATATTCAAACATATGTGGTCATTCTCACTCAAACCATATTGCCCTTCTGTCTTATGTCCATATCTGACATACAGACTTTCTGTTGAAACTCAAGCTGATCCAAGGTGTATGTTTTACAAAAGGGATGGATAGCTAGAATGTTAAAGTGTGCTCTTGATCTAAATACTTTACATGGAGGACCGAAGGTCCTATACTGTGCCATTTTAGGAACTTAAGGGACACTGAACACTGAGGGCCACACAGATGGCAGTATCTAAGAAATTGAGGCATACTGAATGCTGTCTCCTCTATTTGGGAACAAGACAGATTTCCATGACATTGTCTAGGGTAGTGTCAGGATGGAAGTGAGAGAAGAAGAATCCAGAATCTTGCAAATGTAGAGAGAAAAAGTAGGGGGGTGGGCACAAATTTTCAAATAGCTTGGCAAAAAGAGACCAGAAATTAAAAGAAAAAAGGGAGTGGCTACAAAGACTGACCATGTTAAAATGTCATTAGAAGGGAAATGACCCTACAGAGGAAGGAGACACTGTCAAAGGAACATGCTACTTTGGCACACACAGGCATTATATCCAGGGTTCAGGTAGAATTACAAACTTTATACGGCCACATGTCCTGTTTTTCCCAGGACAGTTCTCGTTGACACCTGTTGTCCCGGAATAATTATTAATAGAATCCTGCTTTTACTTTCTGAAGTGCCTAGGCTTCCATGATGTGTTATACAGCTGCTCTCATTAGGGGCAGAACATTCCCTTCCTTGGAGTAAGGAGGGAAATGGGAACATTTGTCAATAGGAACCCGTTTATAAATCAGGCATGTCTAACTTGACAATGCTGTTCTCTTGGTCTCTGCTTTCTTTAGGAAGTAGATGGCAGGTTATCCTCTTTAGGGAGGGCACAGAGTGGGGGCAGGGGCAAGGACAGTGGAAAGATTTTAAAATAGCCACGGGATGGGAACAGTGACTCAGAAGGAAACTTGGGATTGTGGAACAACTTTAAGGTTCTAGCAGAGGACAGGATCATGACTATGGGAGGAGGGGCATCTTCTACATGGCCGAATCACGTCCTACCACAATTACATGAATTTTAATCTACTGTACAGATATATATTTAGAAAAAGTGTGCTTCCATTATGTTCAAAGGCAAGACATGAGTATTGGAATTTTGGCAGAAGGGAGAATTAGGGCAAAAAGAAATATTCCCTGAGAGAGAAGCACTGAGTCCCAGAATCTTTATGCATGAAATTCATGTAGCTTAATACCCAAACACGGAATCTAGGAGGGTTGAAACCTGGGTTTAAATCTTATAGCTCCAGCAATAGACAGCCATGACAACGTAAAAGCTTTCCTACTACAAATGTTTAGAAATTCAGGATTAGCTACACAAATCATGGGGATAAGAGGTAAATATCTAGACACCAGAAATTATTAGAAATTGTGCAACTTGGTTAGTAAGCTCCCAAGCAGCTTCCCCATCGCTCCGAGGCAATGGGTGAGGTGCCCACCTCCACCTCCCAGTCTTAAGTCCATAGAGATGAGGAGACAAAGTTTTAGACCCCATGGGCAGTAGAATCAAACACTGAAACCCTTGCTTAGGGCTGAGAAGCACAGCGATGGCAAGAGGGGCCAGGAAAATTCACGGGCATGTACACACAAACACACGGACACATTTGTGTGTCTTTACCTGAATTCTAATTATTGGGGAGTGAAAAAAACAAATCTTCTTAGAAAAATATTAAACACTAAACGATATTAAATCGATACGACAACACAGTCTGGGGATCTCTGGAGGGAGAAATTAGCATAAAGAGTAGGTCATAAGTGAAAAGTTTAATAAGACAAAATATTGGAAGTGGAAGTGCCTTACACAGGGGACACATTATTTTGATGGATGAAAGCGCAGTAAGGATGAGTTCACAGCATGAACTGTAGCTGTGTAAGTAGGAAGGAACTCACCTGAGTGTGAGTCAGTGCAACAAAGAGGAATTGAGTCAGAAGAATAAAGTAGCAGGGGACATTAATAAATTTGCTCAAAAACAGTTAAAGACACAAAAGGTGGAATTAAAAAAAAATGTGTATTTGCAGCTTAAAACTCCAAGCTGGGGGAGAGTGGCTTCAGAGGCCTCGTTCCCACAGAGTATCTATTGGCAGTCACAGCCCATGTCTGTGGGAGAGGGAGAGACACTTTTCATTTGGGTAGTGGCCATGCTCAGTAGATGACTCCACACCCATGC